GAGAGAGAGAGAGAGAGAGAGAGAGAGGGAGAGAGAGAGAGAGAGGGAGAGAGAGAGAGAGAGGAGGGGCTTGAGGCTGTGTTATATGAGAAGCAGTGGAGGGACTAGGGATACTTAACCTGGAGAAGATGCAGGGGATAGGAGAGCTGTCCCCAAGCATTTGAAGGTTTGTCTTATAGAGGGGGGATTAGCTTTGTTCTGCTTGGCCCCAGGAGACAGAACCGAGAACAGCAGGGGGTGGAACTCTCAAAGAGGCAAAGCAAAGATTGAAGAGGGGAGGAGATAAAAACAACCCCACCCCAACCTTCTAACAATTGGAGCTGTCCAAAAGTGGACTGGCTGGCCAAGAGAGGAGGTAGGCTCCCTCTCATTGGAGGTCTTCAAGTAGAGGCTGCCTGACTGCCTAACATGTTACAGTATGGGTTGGGGATATGGCTTGATAGATATTGGTGATATGGTAGATAGCTGCTATGATCCTTTCCAATTCTAACTTCTAAGACTGTAAGCTCTCAAGAGGCCTGAATGGAGACAGGGAGGAAGAAGAGAATAAGCGTTTATATAGCACCTACTATGTGCTAGGCACTGTGCTAAGCACTTTTTATAAATATTATCTCTTTTGATTCTCACAACAACCCTGGTAGGGAGATGCTATTATTATCCCCATTTTACAGTTGAGAAAACCGAGGCACAAAGAGGCTAAGTGACTTTACCCAAGGTCACACAGCTAGTAAGTGTCTGAGGCTGGATTGGAACTCAGGTCTTCCTGGCTCCTTTGTTTGCCATTTAAAGCCCTTCACCACCTGACCTTTTCTTATCCTTCTCATCTTCTTATACATTACTCCCTTCCATGTTTTTTACGGTCCAACGACAGTTTCCTATCTGCTGTTCCTCATGAATGACAGTCTGTCTCCCATCTCCTGGATTTTCCACTGGGTGTTCCCCATTCCCAGAATGCTCTCCAGCCTCACCCCCCACCTCTTAGAATTCTTGAGTCCTTGAAGACTTAGTTTGAGCATTACCTTCCATCCACTCTACTTATCTTGTCTGTGCTCACTCTTATACATGTTGTCTCTCCCAGTGGAATGTAAGCTCCCTGAGGGCAGGGCCCATGTCTTGTATCCACAGTGCCTGCCTCTGGAGCTCTGGGTCTGTTTCCTCCTCAGAAAATGAAAATTATGGATGATGTCTAAGGTTCCTTCTTGATCTAAATCTCTGACCCTGGGATGGAGAGGGTAAGTCACCCAAGACAAACTTTGCTGCCTTTAAAATTCAGGAAGGTGCTGACCCTGGCACTTGCACTGTCCAAAGGCCTCAGTTTCCTCATCTGTAAAATGAGAGGTTAGACTCGATGGTTTCTGAGTTATGATCCTATAAACTATGACCTTTCACCCTTGGAGGCCTTTGATGAACTGGAGCATAGACGTGGAACCCAGTTGGTTTGGCTTCCAGTTCCACTCCTGACAGTGTAGAAGGTGCCCTCCCTATCAGCTGCTGGTGGTCTGATGGGCACAGAGCTGTAGCTGGCTCCCTGGTTCACCCACTCCCTCATCAGAGAAAGGGGCAGATCCAGGAGCCAGAGATGTGCTTCCTAAGGGTGGAATTCTCCATGACTCACACACTGAGGCTGGCGTGGGTTGTGGGTGGCAGCTAAAAATACTGGGGGAGACCCAGACAGTCCTGTCAGGGGAGGCTGCAGACTGTCTCCATCCTGCCTACTCCCCCCCTGGTGACTCAGTGCCACAGAGGGACCCAAAATATCAGGAGATCCTGGGGAGAAAACCCCAGCATGCCTGGGCTGTCTTTCATTACTTCCACCAATGGGAATGGGGAGAAGGAGAAAGTGAGTCATTCCTGGAGATTCCCAAACAGCCTCCCACACACATATGGGCACACACGTGGGCAGAGGCTCAGCTCAGGCAACGGTCAGATAAAGGGAAAGCCGTAAAGCTTAAATCCTCAGAGTGGGGGAGGGGGAGGGAGCAGAGAGGAATCAGGGAGGGGACAGAGATGGCATTAGACACACAACCCAGCTTACTCTAGAGGAGAGATGCTGTCATTTGTGAAGAACGTCAGATTTGTACACAGAGGACCTGAATAAGAATCTTGTTACTAACAGCTGTGTGACTTTGGCTCATGTCCCTTCACCTCTCTGGGCCTCTATAAAATTAGGAGGTTAGAATAAAAGTCAAAAAAGAACTGGATTGGGAGCCAGAGGACCTTGGTGCAATCCTGTTTCCATCCCTTACAACCTGTGCAACCAGAGGCAAGTGACTTCAATCTTTCTGGGCCTCAGTTTCCTCATCTGTAAAATGAGGGCATTAGACTCCTTTCCTACTTCACGTCTATGGCCCTATGATCTATAAGGCTGTTTCATTCTCTCCTTTCAAGGCCCCCTACCAGCAGCCTGGAACAGGTTTAGATCAGGAGAACAGGAAGGGGGCAGTGGACCCTGAGAAAGGGGAAATTACAAAAACAGATGGTTCCTGGAAATTGAGGGGATGCCCATTGATTAAGGAATGATTAAACAAGTGCTGGCATATGAATGTGATGGAATACTACTGTGCGGTAAGAGATAATCAATCATGTTATAACAAATGATGAGCAGGCAGACTTCAGAAAAACCTGGAAAGACTTGTATAGACTGATGCTGAGTGAAGTGAGCAGAATCAGGAGAACGTTATACACAGTAACAGCCATGTTGTGAAAAGACTAACTTTGATAGACTTAGCCCTTCTCAGCAATTCAAGGATCTAAGACATCTCCAAAAGTCTCATGATGGAAAATGCTATCCACATCCAGAGAAAGAACTAGGGAGTCTGAATGCAGATCGATGTATACTATTTGCTCTGTTTTTTTTTTCTTCTGTTTCTTTCATGTGGTTCCTCCTACTGGTTCTAATTCTTCTTTACCACATGACTAATGTGAAAATTAAACACATATGTATATAGTAAAAAAAGAAATGATCAGCGGGATAGTTTTAGAAATACATGGAAAGACTTGCATGAAATAATGAAAAGTGAAGTGAGCAGAACCAAGAGAACATTGTAAATAGGAACAGCAATATTGTTTGGAGAACATCTATGAATGACTAAGTTATTCTGAGTATTACAATATTCAACTCAAGTACAAAGGGCCCCTGAAGGAAGATGCTATCCATCTCCAGAGAAAACTGATAAATAGAAGCATGCACAGTATGGTTTTATACATGTATATATGTATGCACATATGTGTGTGTGAATGTGTGTGTGTGTGTGTGTGTGTGAAATGGTGGCCTTCTCTAGTGTGGGGTAGGGAGGGAGGGAGGGAGACAGTTCAGAACCAAAAATGTAAAATATTAATAAAATATTAAATAAAATAAAATATTAAAAACAAACAAAAAAAGGAAAAAAATCAGATGGTAGCAACCCCCAAAAAGAAACTTTGCAGAGCAGTTAGCTGACATGTGGTAGAGATGAGATAATGTGGCCCCCACCACAGCCTCCAATGAGTAATGATTTGGACAAAACTGAGCTTTCCTGACTTGTCTTTGTCAATCCAACAGAGAGAAGACCACATGCTGTAATAGAGAGACTGCTAAACTTGGGATTAGAGAGATAGGGTTCAAATGCTGCTTTTGACCCTAGCTGTGTGACTCTGGGGAAGTCGCTTAATTTCCCCAAGCCTCAGCTTTCTCATCAGAGTTGACATATCCTGGACTGAGTTCCCTCCTTTGGAGCCAAACACGTGCTCTGAGTCCAACCCAGTGAACTCCTCTAACTGATTTATTTGCATGTTGTCTCCCCCATTAGATTGGAAGCTCTTTGAGGGCAGGAATTGTCTTTTGCCTCTCTTTGTGACCCCCGTGCTTAGCAGAGTGCCTGGCGCATAGTAGGTATTTAATAAATGTTTACTGACTGACTGATTCCCAGTGGCTGGGGCAGTTGGGATGGGGGTGGGGGGCTGAAGATGATTTTTGAGCCAGTGTCAGGGGTGATGGTCAGAGGGGTTCACTGTGTCCAGCCCACGCTCCTGAGAAAATAACCAGCTCTGTGGGAAGTGCCCTAATCCTCAAAATCGGGACTTTCTCTGATCATTCCAGCTACAATCACAAAATGGGGGCCTGGACTAGATGGAGCCCCCACAGGCTGGTCCCAACCCCCGAGCACTGGCCACAGACTAGCCCTGATCTCCAATTCCCCTGCCACAACATGGACCCCTAGATCTCTGGGGGGAAATGAGAGAGTATGGATGACTCAGTGCAGACTGTCCCCACTCAAGAGGCACAAGTAACTTCTTATGTGTCTTCTAGGGATCTGAACACAAGCTCCCAAAAGGCAGGGACTTCAACTTTCCCAGGAGATACAGGAAAACTGGATGGATATCAAACCCTGACAAGCCATGATGGTGGGATGGGGGCTTTGCATGGGGAAACTCCCCAAATCCCAAGAGGCTTCATCTAAAATACTGCTGCAATTAATGCCAGATTCACTGTACAAAGCTGATTCATCAAGAGTTTTTCAGGTCATTTCATAAAGGAAAACACCAGCAGTAGGTAAAAAGCACTGGATTTGGAGTGAGGAAGACCTGGGTTCAAATCCTGCTGTAGATGCTTCCTACCTCTGTGTCTGTTTCCTTCAAGATTCAGCTCAACTACCAATCTCTGCTGGAGAACTTCTCTGGTGCCCTCCCCTCAGATACCCTGAATATCTCATACCTTCCTGTTAGAAACTTGTTCTTTCTTTCGTTAGAATGTAAGCTCTTTGAGGGCAGGAATTATTTTTACTGTTTCTTTCTATCCCTTGTGACTATCATAATGCCTGGCTCATGGTAAGCACTTGATTCTTTTTCATTCATTCATTCATTCATTCATTCATTCATTCATTCACTCTCTCTCCCAACAAAATGTAAGCTCCCTGAGGACAGGGGCTGTTCCTTTTGTCTTTGCATCCCCAGTGCCTGGCACAATGTCTGGCACATGGTAAGCACTTAATAAATTCTTATTCATTCATTCATTCATTCATTCATTCATTGTGTCTTCCAATGAAATGTAACACCCTTGAAGGTAGGGGCTATGTCACATCTGTCACTGCATCTCTAGTGCCTAGCATGGAGTAAGTGCTTAATAAATGCTTATTGATGAATTGATTGACCCTGTGTAATTTGTTTAACCCCCCTGAGCCTTAGTTTTCTTATCTATCAAATGGGGATAAAAATATCATCCACCTCATTGGGTTGTTGTCAGGATCAAAGGAGACACAAAATGTATGAAAATGTCAGTTATCGTGATTGCTAGCTCTTATCAGTCCATCCCCCCACCTCAGCAGGGACCCCAGAGGGTATCCACAGCTTGCTCAGGGTAGCTGGTGTGGGAGAGTGAGGGCCCCCCACCCACCTGGCCTCGAACACCGTGCAGCGAAGCTTCTGGGGCCCCTGGCCTCGCACGATCTCCATCTGCAGATGAATCTCCCCCTGCACCTCCTCATCCGGGTCAATCTCCTTCAGGTGGAGCCATCCACTGTAACCTGGGGGAGGGAAGATGGACAGGCCCTTAATAGCACCCACTGGGCAACCCTGGGCAGGCAGAAGGAGAGGAGGGAACGCAGAAGGCCCTGGAAGAAGTCATCCTGTGTCTTGTAAGACCCAACTTGTCCTACCCACTCTCCGCCCCCTCCCCCGCTCCGAGCCCTGCTTTGTCACCCATGGTGGGGGGCAGGGTGGGGCCTTCTGCTTGGGTGCAAATGTAGGCAGTGTGGAGCTTTGGGGAGCAGCCAGGGCTGGGAGCCAGAAGACCCAGGCTTGAATCCCCACTCGGAATCTGTGACCTGCTTGGTTTCCCCAAATTCATCTCTTTGAGCCTCCTCCTCCTCCTCCTCTGTAAAATGGGGTGGTCAGGCTAGACGCAGATTTCTCTAAATAAGTCAAGTGGAAAGGGGGATGAACCTGTTATTAGACCTGAGTTCAAAACCTGACTGCTATTTGCCACGTGTGCAACCTTAGGCAGGTCACTTTTCCTCCTCAGACCTCAGTTTCCTCATCTGTAAAATGAGCTGGTCCAACTAGATGGCCTCTGGGGTCCTTCCCAGCCCTAAAGCTATGATCCTCTGATTCCAGTCACTTGTGTGGCCTTGGGCAAATAGGGGAGATGATTCCTGCCGGCTCCAGCTCAGAGAGTATCACGAGGAGAAGATTCACACCCTGGGCTGGAAAGAGTTCAGAATTACTGGATCATGGACCTGGAGCTGGAAGGGACCCTTTGGCCATCTAGTTCAGCTCCTTCATTTTACAGATGAGGAAACTGAGGCACACAGAATGGAAGTGACTTGCCCAAGGTTTCTCAGGGAATAATCATGAGAGGCAGGGTTTGAACTGAGGTCTCCGACTCAAAAGCCCATGCTAGTCAATGATTTCCATGCCCTAACAGATGATCATTTGTCAGCATGTTATGGGAGGGCTTCCTTTCATGTATGGATTAGACCAGCAGCTACTAAGGTTCTTTCCAATCCTACCGTTGATTCTGTGAGTCTAGGAAGAGGGACAGGGCAGGCTCAAGAAGAGTAAGCCTCAGGGCCCAAGGATGGAGCTTAGTTATGTTTATTTCAGCTGTCAGGGATTCAGGGCCTAGGCCCAGAAAGAAGCAGACTGAAGTCCCTCTAGTCCTGGGTGGGATTGGGTGAATCGGTGGTTCAGAGCAGCCAGGAAATCCTCCCAAGGGGTTGGCAGCCCATTATAAACAGCAGCAGATGGGGAGGAAGGAAGCAGGACCCCAGGGGGAGAAGGTCCCACCCTAGCAACCCTTTGGGGTGTGGAGGAGAGGAGAAGGACTCACTTCACTCACTCTGGATCGCTACCTCTTAAAATCCCAAGCTTCCTTTAGGGCTCAGCCCTAATGCCACCTCCTAGAGACGGCTTTTCAGCCTGGCCCCAGCTTATGACTTCATCTTTGCTTTTTCTGTTTTACATTGAGTTGTCTGGACCCTTACTTCCCAAGAGTAGGATGTTAACTCTTTCATTCCAGGCATGGTTTCATTTTTGTCTGTTACTCTCAGCATCTAGCCCAGTTTGGGCCATGTGTGACAGCTGCTTTGTTCAAGACCGTGAACAAGTCCTCACTACTCCGTGTCCTTCCCCTATGTGTGCCCTGCCCCCCCACACACACACTCTAAGGCAGAGAAACTGTCAACCTGCATCAAAAGGGGCAGCTGCCATCTCCCTTTACCAGAGAAATGACAGGACCAGTGCCTAGACCCTATGCCAGGAGCTGTCCTGGGTGCTGAGGAGAAATACAAATAGTGAAATGACCTTGAGAAGCTCAGTCTCCTGGGATAGTTTTAAGGGCAGAATGAGCTGCTCAGATGCTGGGGATTGGATGAGATGACTTGGAAATGGACTGGATTTGTAGTTAAGGGATTTGGGTGTGAATCTCAGTTCTGCCGCTTATTAGCAGGGTGACCTTGGACAAGTCATTTAACAGTCATGGGGCTCAGGTTCTGCATTTATAAAATGAAAGGTGGGGGTAGGAGGTGGAGTAGATGGATGCTGAGGGCCCTTGCACTTCTGAGGCTGAGTTCCTTCCAGGCACGGGAATCCACCAGTTTCCAATTGTCATTAGCTCCCTCGTCTCCTGTCCCTTCTCTAACCAAGGGGTAGGCGCGAGGGTTGGGCACAGGGTGCGATGCCCTGCCCGTTTTGCTCAAGCACGGCTGCAAAGGAGACTCCAAAGTTCCAGCCTGGTAAACAACCATGACCCCTCCCTCCTTCCTTCAACTCCCCCTTTGGCCAGGAGCCAGGTGTCTCAGAGTCAGGACCTCTGTCCGGATGGACCGAGCTGTAGAGAAGGCAGGAACGGGGGACGCTGGATGCAGGGCATACAGGGGTGGGCCCGAGGGGCTGAAAGATGCTCTTACCCTTGGGATGCTCAGCTAAGACGTCTCTGGTGAGGCAGACCTTCCCAATGACATCGTCTCGGCTATGGAGAGGGGAAGGGGAGAGAACACCAAGATTAATGGCAGTAGATAAAGCAATACGGCTAGATCCAAGGATCTGAGTTCAAATTCCACCTCTGATTCTTACTACTTGTATGACTTTAGGCAAGTCTCCTAATTTTTTCTCTGGGCTTTGGTTATCTTATCTGTAAATTGAGAAGGTTGTGCTAGAGGGCCTTCTGAGGGCCCTCCTAGCTGGCCAGCTCTGCTATTGACAGGAAATCACTATTTCGCTATGCCGTAAAAGCTCCCTGAGCCTAGAGTACTGGGCTGAGTCATGAAGACCTGAGTTCAAATCCAGCCTCAAACACTTATTAGCTGTGTGACCCTGGGCAAGTCACTTAACCCTGTTGGCCTCAGTTTCCTCATCTATATGATGGGGATAATAACAGCACCAACCTCCCAGGGTTGTTGTGAGGATCAGTGAGATAATACCTGTAAGGTGCTTAGCACAGTGGCTGGCACATAGTAAGTGCCATATAAAAGTTAGATATTACGATGATTATCCTACGACCCAAATCCAAACTCCAGCTCTGTTCCTGACTCCCTTTGCAATCTTGGGCACATCACATCACTTCCTCAGCCCTCTTCATCCATAAAATGAGGCCACTGGCTAGATGCCCCCTGAGCTTCCTATAAAGCTCCCCTTTAAGTTAGTGGGCTGTCTTGCTTCTCAGAGCTCTGAGCTCCAGGCCCTGAGGGGTAGAAGCTCTGAACCGGCCAGGTTTAGGTTAAGCTGTGAGGACAAAGCTCAGAGGCTCGATCTCATCCACCACTGTGTCTACTATTGCAGGCTAGCTCATCTTCTGGGGTTGGGGTCATGGGGTGGGACCCCACACCAACAACATGCTTCATCTCTGGCTCTGGAAACTTCCTACCCAAAGGAAACAGGACTTTAACTTCCTACTTGTGCAAAATGCTTCCATACTCAGATATACACACTCACATGTGCACACACACACATAAACACAAGCACGTAGTGCCCACCATCTGGGTTAGATGAGGGCCCTCCCCCTGGGAGGAAAAACAGGGAGGGAAAGATAGGGGGAGTGATGGATGAATTTCCATCAGGATGGCCCCTGACTCCAAATCTACTCAAGATTGGTGACTTACTCATGACAGGTGTATTCAAAGGTACCTGAAGTCTACTTTCTCCAGATGGGTGCATTTATTTTGTTATTGTAGAGTCATTTTTCAGCTATATGATTCTTCTTGACCCCATTTAGAGTTTTCTTGGCAGAGGTACTGGAGTGGTTTGCCATTTACTTCTTCAGCTCATTTACAAATGAGGAAACTGAGGCAAACTGGATTAAGTGACTTGCCCAGAGTCACAGAGCTAGTAAATCTGAGGCCAGATTTGAACTCAGGAAAATGTGTCTTCCTGACTCCAGGCTTACCACTCTATCCACTGCATCACCACTGCACCCACTGCCTGGGTGCATTCACAGCAAACCTCATTTCCCTATTTTCTTGTTATTGTTATTGTTCAGTCTATTTTCTACCTTAATATAAAACTCCCAATCCCTAACATCTGCAGGCCATCCAGAATCTATCTATTGCCTGGATTGAGCCAGTTGACTGAGTTGCAATGCATGCATTTGGTCTCATTTTCCTAAACCAGTGCAAATGGCCACTAAATTGTTTTGTATACTATCAATAAACCATGTAGTTAGATCAGCTGATATGTTTTGATAGAAATGACATAAAGGAAGACACTATCATCTGCTTTGTGGATGTGTCCTGAGGATCACTGGGCTTTTCCATCTGCCCTGCCGCTGAGCCCTCCTATGTGTGATGTCTCCCCCATTTGAATGTGAACTGCCTGAGAGCAGGGGCTAACTTACTTTCCTATTTGTACTCCCAAAGTTCAGCACTGAGCTCAGTACATAGTAAGCCCTTAAAGAAATGCTTTTTTCTCCATATTCATTTATTCATTCACTCATTCATTCATTCATTCATTCATTCATTCATCAGCCAAATGTTACTCATTATCTTTGTTCTTTCGATTTGATTCAATTCAACAAATATTTATTAAGCTCCTACTATGGGCCAGATCACTGTACTATGTCCTAGAGAGAGGGATAGGAAGTAAACCTGTGATCTCATTGGTGGGATTCCAAGGGAGGAGCTTCCTCCACAGACATAGGCTTAGAGAGTTGCCTAGGCACTGAGTGGTTAAGTGACTTGCCTTGGGACACACAGCACTGGGGTCATAGAGACAAAAATGAAACAGTTCCTGCCATTAAAGAGCTTACATTTCATGTGAGAATAAAGCATGTACTTGGTAAGTGAGGAAAAACAAGTTAAATGCAAAGGGAGGATGCTGATACCTGGGGGGTGGTCAGTGGAGATCAGCAAAGGTTCAAGTAGGAGGGGGCATCTGAGATGCGTTTTGAAGGAAGCTGGGGATTTGGGGAGAGGGAAGGCGGAAGAAGCGTGCATACAAGGCACAGGGTAGAGACTGCAAAGGCATAGAGGTAAGAGATGAGATATCACATATGAGGAAGAGCTAGCAGGCCTGTTTGAAATCTCAGACCAAATATATCTAATGTGTGCACCCACACACAAGCACACACACACACACACACACACGCTCACTTCTCTCTTTTCTCTCTCTGTTTCTCTAGCCATGATTTATACCCAGTTGGCCCCAGAGCCAGCCTACAGGAGCTGAGCCCCCAGCCCATCCCCGTTCTCCTCTGAGGTCTTCCCAGCTGAGAAATCACATTCACATATGATTCAGCACACTTCCAAGGCCTTCATCTGGCAGTGAACCCTCAGTGCTAATGCTGCCCCATGTGACCTTGGGTGAGTCCCTTCCCCAATCAGATCCTTTCTCTGTCACAGCAAGGAATGGGATTAAATGGTTCCCAAGATCTCGACATTCTAGACTCCTCATAATGAAAGGCTGGGTGGGGGGTTTTGGACCCGGTTCTAACCCAGCTTGCTCATGTGAAGGCTTCAGTGTCGCTCTCCAGACCCAACAGGGCCTTCTCTGGACCATCTCCCCCTGCCTCCCTTCCACCACACATGCCCACCCCCATCTATAGCCATCCATTCTGGGTCCATCTTCTGGCTCTCTGGAGCCCCGAGCCAGACCTGAGGGCATCGTACCTGAGGGCGTCTTCATCCATGACATAGAAGGACACAGAGTGGAAGGTGGGAGGAAGGTGAACCTTGTACTCCTCACCCCAGAATGGGGACAAGGTCTTCCACACCGTGGCTGTCCTGTTGGAGAAAGATGGATGGAGAGAAAGAGAGCTTTTCAGGGACAGCCCTTAATGCCAGAGCCCGGTCATCTTCCACCTCTCTGCCACCCCCACCCCCAGAGCCTAGGTACAGGGGTGGGGAACCCGCAGCCAAACTTCCAAGTTTGGATTTAGCCAAAGGGCCGCACTTGAAGACCTAGAGGGCCACATGTGGCCTCGAGGCCGCAGGTTCCCCACCCCTGGCTAGGAGTTCTTTTTATTCCATTTGATCATTTTTTTAAATGTTATTTTAACCCTTTAAGTGTTCCAAATCTACCTCGGCTGCCTAGCTGGGTAAATGGCTTCCTTTCTTTGTGTTTGCTATTTTCCCCACTTTCATTTATTCATTCATGCATGCATGCATGCATGCATTCATTCATGCATTCAGTCAACATTTATTAAGGACCTACTACCTGTAGGGAAATACAATGATAAATAAGACAGAGCCCCTGCCCTCAAGGAGCTTACAGACTACAATAATCTTATAGTTTTTAGAGATAATGATGTTTTCACATTCATTATTCACACCCATTTCGCAGCAGCCCTATGAAATAGGCAGGACAGGAATTTGACATAGTGAGGAAACTGAGGCAGAGAAGGGGCAAATTACTTTCCTAACATTATGTGGCAAGTCTCCTGATTCTCTCTCCTAAAGGGACAGATGATCCTAACCCTTCTTCCAGGGGCTGCCATGCCAAGGAGAGGGGATCACTGTGCTTTACTGGCCTCACTAGAGGCAGTGGGATGGACATGTAACAAAGGAGATTGTCCAGAATGAGCTGAGAGGGGAGAGGGAGGGCCTGGGGATGAGCAAGAGGGTTGGCTTTGGATTCAGAAGACCCGAGTTCCAGTTCTGGCTCAGCACCTTTCTGGCTATGTGCCCTATTAGCTCTCTGGCTGGAATTATGGAACATAGCACCTCAAGAGCAGGGATTGCTTCATTTTTGTGGATGTCTAGCATAGTGCCTGCCACAAAGGAAGCACTTTACAGATGCACTTTGGCTGATCCACCTTGGAGAGTTTTCTCATCTATAAAATGGGGACAATTAAATTCAATGACTATTAAGCACCAGTAGGGTAGCTAGGTGGTACAGTGGATAGAGAACTGGCCCTCAGTCAGGAGGACATGAGTTCAAATCCAGCCTCAGACACTTATTAGCTGTGTGACCTTGGGCACCTGTTTTGCCTCAGTTTCTGATCTGTAAAATGAACTGGAGAAGGAAATGGCAAAACACTACAGGATCTCTGCCAAGAAAACCCCAAATAGGGTCATGGAAAGTTGGACACAATTGAAATGACTCAATAATGACAAAGCACCAACCATGTGCAAAAAAGACTGACTACTTTGCAGGGCTGTTGTGAAGATGGTACTTTGTAGATCCTAAAATTTTATCAATCAGAAAATAATCTCCTTGAGAGCAGCCTTTGTTTCTTTTTAAACATTTCTCCTTTGTATCCCCAGTGGCTAGTACAGTGCCTGGCGTGTAGAAGGGACTTAATAAATGTTTGTTGGAAAACTAAAAATCAATCATTTAAAAATTTAAATGTTTGTTGATTGAATATATGTGTGTGAGTTACTGTTATTCTCTCTATTCCCATGTCCCTGTTTTATGAGCTGTGCTACAGGAATCCACCCAGGCTCTATGTGAAGACCTGAGAGAGAAGGAGCACCTCCCCAAAGGGGTTAGCCCTCCTCCTCAGTTACCTGATGATGGGCTCATTGTCAATCTTCACGATGCAATATGGATCACTGCTGCCAGTGCTGAAAGAAAAGACAAGAGGCCCCTATCAGTGGTGTCTCCCTATGAAGAGGGTCAAACAAAGGTGGGTCAGTGCAGGCATGGGCCAAGAGCCCTGGTAGAGAGAAAGGAGAGGTGAGAACACAGGCAGAGATATGTGCTGTGAATGGAGGAGATGCTTCTGTTCCTTGGAGAAAGAGATCAGGACAAGATGGGCTAGGGGAGAGAAGCTTACAGAATGAAATGGGGGAAGAGTTGGAAGGGCCCCTCACCACTTGGGACCTTCCCATGTTGAGGCTTCAGGGAAATCGAACTGAAATTTCATCTACCCCCAACTCTATACTAAGCCATGTCTAACATCAACCTAACCAGTCAGTCGGCAAGTATTTATGACTTCCCTCCTATGGGCCAGGTGGCCAGGGAAGCAAAAACCAAAGTGGAACAGTCCCTGTCCTCAAGGCGCTTACATTCTGCAGCTCTTGATAGGACCTTTGGTGATGGTGGGGGTGGAGAAAAACATATTTACAGATGGGTAAATACAAGATGAAAGAGACAGTGTGGTAGAGTGGTAGAAAGTTTGCCTTGAAGCCAGGAAGTCTTGGCTCTGGCACACATTGGCAGTATGACCCTGGGTAAGTCACCTTACCTCATACTGCTTTGAGCAGCTCTCCAAGAATGTGTTATATAGAAGGGGTCCACCTGCATTGGTAGAGGGAATTTCCTCATCTGGGACTTCCCAGACCAATGAAATCACAGGCTAGTGCCTAAGTCCCTGTCTTAGCTATATAAAATTAATACATAGTTTGCCTTAGTCTAGTGCCTTGGCATACCATAAGGGCTTAACAGATTCGGTTAAAAGGCATTCAATATACAAGTTCATTCTCTCTGTCTCTCTCTCTGTCGTCAGGGGAAACGCTAAGAACTGGTGAAACATGAAAGGTCGTCCAGAGGAGATGGCTGGTGCCCAAGTGGAGTCCTGAAGGTAGCCAGGATCCTAGCTCTAGGGATGGAAAGGTCTTCAGGGGCCTTCTAGTCTAACCTCCTCATTTTATGGATGGGGAAACTGAGGCCCAGGGAAGTGAAATAACCTGTCACAGGTCAAGAAAGTTGTAAATGAGATTTCAACCTGGCTCCTCTGACTCCAAATCCATTTGTATTTCCACTGTAGCTTGATGGCTTTCCAAAAGAAGGGACTCCATTGGAAGGGAGCAGCTGAAGGAGATAGTTGGAGAGGTGCCTCCTTTAGAGATCATTTAGCTCACCTCCCCCATTTTATGCCCTATTTCTCCTTCCTAGTGTCTCATTTGATCCTCACAAGAACCCTGAGGGGTGGGTGCTACTATTATCTCCATTTTACAGTTTAAGAAACTGAGGCAGGCAGAGGTTTAATGACTTGCTTAGGATAACACAGCTGCTAAGTATCTCTGAGGTCAAATTTGAACTCAGATCTTCCTGACTCCAGGCCCAGCATGCTATTCTATGTGCCACCCAGCTGACCCCAAGGAGTGAGAAGAATCAAAGATGTTTCTGATAGGTTGCAAGCCTGGGTGTCGGTATGTACCAAGCAAGCCTGGGTGCCTGAAAGAACTGGGGCATACCTGACAGAAATAGAGAAGTCTGGGGGAAGGCCAAGTTTTGTTTGGAAGATGTTGTATTAGAGATCTGAGAAGGTCATAGGTACCTTGGGGCCAACATTCAGGAGACATTTTTTATGGATATTTTCTTTCTTTCATTTTTAGCATTTTATTTCCCCCCAATTACATGTAAAGACAATTTTGTAGATAGACATTGTTTAATGAAGCCTGCGATTTCATCAGTGTTGGGAGCTCCTGGGGAAGAACTTTCTCTACCAATATGGCCCTAGCATGGACCCTGTAATTTACAGTGTCAAGTGTGTGGCTGGGGACATTGAAAGGTTAAGTGACTTGTCCAGGACCACAAAGTCATTATCTGTCAAAGGAAGGATGCAGGCCTTCCTGATTCTGAAACAGGCTTTGTACTATGCCACACTCCTGCTCAGGAGAAAGATTAGGGCTGGATTTAGAGATCTGGGAGTCTTCTGCATAGAGATCCCTATAGAGATTAAACACCTAAAAGCTCAAGAGATTACCACTCAATCAAAAGCATTTATTAGGCATCTACTATGTGACAGGCATCCACCGTATCACAAGAACAGAAAATGAAACAACCTCTGCTCCCAAGGAAGTTACATTGAGAGAGAAGAGAAGAGGGTCTGGGAGATGCCCACATTTACTGGCCAGGAGATGGAAAATGCAGCAAGAAGACTGAGGAGTGGTCAGTCAAGGTGACGACCAACAGAGTCACGTCATGGAAGATAAAGGAGGGAATGTCCAGGAGTAAGAGACAGAGAGAAATGCCAACAGCTGCCATCAGAATGAGGACTTGGGATGGCTGGTGGAGTTAGCCCTTGGTAACTTGGAAAAAGCCAGCTCTGTCAAGGGGTGGAGCTAGAAACTAGATGATATGGAGCTGAGAAGTGAGCGGGAGGTGAGGAAGTGGAGGCAATGAATGGAGACCATCCTTTGGACCAGTTAGGCAATGAGATCTAGGATAATAGCATGAGTGATTGCCAGGGTAAAGTGAAGGGCTTTTTAAGGATGGGAGAAGTGAGTATGTTTATAGGTGTTGACGAAGGAGCCAGTCTATAAGATGAGATTGAAGATGGGAGGAAGAAAGGGGATGAGTGAGGGCAAGCTTCCAGAGGAGATAGGAGGAAATGTGATCAAGTTCACAAGCAGAGGAGTTGGCCTTGGTCAGAGGGGCTGACTCGTCACCAGAAGCTGGAACAAAAGAGAAGCGAATGGGAGATGATGAAGTGTGGGTTAGAGGTCAGTGGGGGAGTGCAAGGGGATGACTGGAGATGACCTTTAACTTCTCGGGAAAGCACAGTGTGAGGTACTCTGCTGAGAGGGAGAGGGGAGGACAGACTACAGGAGGCTTGTAATAGCTGGTGTGGAGACTGACTGTTGGTCACACTGTCAGTGTGACACACTTATCTCCTCGGAGTAGATACCCTGTAGGCTCCTGTCCAGCTCTAAGTCTATGAGTTTGGGGTCTAAACCCACATGGTCTCTGAGACCCCATCCTTCTCTGAGCCTCTCTGATTCTGTGGCCTATACCAGAAGCTCCCTCCTCAAGGAGAATCAAAACTTCCCATTTAAAGAAGGGGGGGAGGGCAAAGACAGAAAGAAAGGGCCCATGTATTTGTGGCAGTACTTTTTTTGTGATAGCAGCACATTGGAAACAAAATAAGGCGCATCAATTGGGGAATGGACTGTGATATCTGAATGTAATGGAACGTTATTATGCCATAAGAAGTGAGGAAAACAAAGAATTTTGAGACTAGGGCATATATATGGACGTGGAAGCAGGAACAGTAAAACAATATGGAATGACCACAGTAATGTAAATGAAAACAACAATCAAATGAACTCGAGCTACGGGGACACACTTCCATCCTCATGGTAGAATTTACAGTGTAACAAGTTGACCACATAATAAGACGGGGTTGCTGTGTTGGTTGGCTTTTTCTTTGTTACAAGGGAGGGTTCAAAGGTTGGGGGGTGGAGCAGGGGGTGTTGAGAAATGATTATGGCATCAATGAAACAAAACAGAACCACAAAACACAAGAAGAACTAGGGTGATGAAGAAGGTATTAAGCAGCAGTAGCCCAAGGTCAGGCGCAGGGGAATCCCAGCTCGTGTTCCGTTCTCTCCGCCAAACTGCAATGTTCCCACAGAGGAAGTGACTGACGGGAAAACAGCTGGACAGCAGCCCAGTCTCCTACCCAAAGAGGAAAACAATTGATGAGGATGTCCCCATTTCTTGTGATTTCTGACACTGGCTGTGTAATCTGAATAGTGGCCAGTTCTTACAAGGCAATTAAACATTCTCCCACTCATCAGTTGTGTGTGTTTGGGAGTTGTATAGGGTGTTGTGGTAAGCTGTGAATTCCCAAAACTTTGGGGATGGTTAGCCTGGAGAAGAGAAACCCAGGAAGTCATGTTAAAGCTGGCATCGTCCCCATTCCTGAGCTTACAAAATCATGAGGAAATCAGAGGGAAAAGGCCTATTTTTTCTTTTTAAAAGTTTTATTGTTGCCTTTTGTATCTATACCACAGTTATTTCTTACTAGATTCTGCTCTCCCCTCCACTACTGAACTTATCCTAGCAACAAAGAAAAACATTTAAGCAAAAGCAACATAGTAATCCCATCTTACAATGTATACCCATTGGTCTCCCCAGCCCATCTCTCTACCGAAAGGCAGGGTATGAGTTTACTTATCAGTTCTCCAGGATTCAGATTGTTCCTTATAACTCTTCAGGAATTGGTTGTTTTTTAGTGGCTATTATCTACATTCCTGAGGCATGACGCATTTTGTACCTGCTTCTGTTCTTTGCCTGGCATCAGTTTGTACAAATCTTCCAATGTTTCTCTGAATCTCTTATGTTCAGCACCTCTTACTGCTTAATAATATTATCTTGCTTTCATGCACCATCTTTCTTCCAGGCATTCTCCAGTCAGTGAGTGTCTACTCTGTCTCCGGGTCTTTGCTAACATAACAGTGTTGATGTATGTGGACACAGTGGTCTGCCTGGAATGGAAGACATTGTAGAGGGCCTCAAGAGGTCTCCACAGCTCCTCCTTACGAATGTCTTTAGGGTTTTTAAAAACTTTAAAGTGCTATAGAAATAAACTCTTTTAAAAATTATTAATAATATTATCAGTCATGGCTAGAGAGTGCAACTCTGATGGTCTGGCCACATTGTTCGAATGCCAATGTACATTTGCCTAAAAGACTATTTTACGGAGAGCTCACACAGGGCAAGTGCATACGTGGAGGTCAGAAGAAGCGACACGGGGACCCTCTCAAGGTCTCTCTGAAGAACTTTGGAAGCTATTGTGAGACATGGGAGACACTGGCATAGGAGTGCCAGCCATGGCATGCCCTCATCGAAGGAGGTTCTGTGCTCTATTAGCAAAACAGAATTGCAGTAGCTC